CTGGCCGCGGGCTGCAGCAGGGCCGTAGGGCCCGTCCACTGACCTGGCCCGCGGGCCTGGCTGCCCAGTCGCGGCAGGCCCTGCCTGCGGGGCTGCAGGGGGCGGGGCGGCCGCAGGCCCCCCAGAGGCCACGATGTCGAGCGGCATGTCGTCATCATCGGTCGCGAGGCCATCGTCCCCGACGCTGTCGCCCCAACGCGTCGTGGCCGAGCTGCTGCGGGGCCTGAGCACTTCAGCGACCGCCTCCTTCTGCGTGTTGAGGATCCCGACGATCTCGGAAACCCTCGGGGGCAGCTCCGACCCGTGCTGCTTGAGGAGATCCGACAGGGCGCCGACCTGAGTGAGCAGCCCTTGGACTGCGTCCCCAAGCGGGCTCGGAACACCTCCGACGGCCGCGTTGGCCCGCTGGATCGCCTGCTGCGTGACCTTGGCTCGGGTAGCCTCCAGCTCGGCAATCTGCCCCGCGACCTCATCCACTCCCAGCTCGGCTGCCGAGAGCTGCTCCTGCTTCTCAGCGATGAGTTCGCGCAGCTCGGACGCCTGCTGCTGGAGCTTCTCCATCTTGGTGCGCGCCGCAGCCAGCTGGCGCTCGACCTTCTTAATGGCGTTGGCCTCGATGTGGAGCACCGAGTGAGGTGGGCGCACCGTCCGCTGGGCATCTTGGACGGCCAGCTCCAGGGCTGCGACCTGGTCCTTGCCCAGCTGGAGGGCGCTCTCGGCCTCACGCTGGAAGTCCGCCGAGAGCCCGAGCGCCAAGGCCCCCTGGAGCTTGGCGACGCGCTCCCTGGCCGCCACGAGCTGCGCCTGCAGCTCCTCGGACTGGGCCTTGGCCTCCCCCCAAGGTCGCCCACGCCGCGCCCTGCTGTTGGGGGTGCTGCTGGGCGCGGTGCTCCCGGAGAGGGCCCGCTGGGAAGCTGAGCGCCTCGCAGCCCGCTGTTGAGCCCTCCCTCTGGGCTGCTGTACGAACCCGTCAGCGTCCACTCTCGGGGGGCCCTTGTCAGTACGGTACTCCTTCGTCCAAGGGGGCGCACTGGTGCCACACACTTTGCACGTCCAACGCTTGTCGCACCAGTTCCAAGCGTTGCAGCCACGCTTGGCACACAGCCAGTACGCCCGCTTGGCCAGCCCCGAGGCAACCTCCGACATGGCGGCCCACCGCGGGACTGACTGCTGCTCGGCCGAAACCCACGGCCCTGCAGGAGCGTGGAGAGACAAAATTGGCGAAGCTTCTGGCTCTTGGCGAAGCGCCCCTCGCGCTCCAGAACGCCCGACGGACTCGCGGTCGTCGGGTGCGCCATGGCCTTGAGCCAAAATGGCTACGGACCCGTACTCCTGTGTGGTCTGCCGTGCTCTGGTGGTCTGCCGTGCTCCTTTGGGGTCTGCCTTGCTACTGTGGGGTCTGCCGTGCTCCTGTGTGGTCTGCCGTGCTCCTGTGGTTTGCCTTGCTCCTGTGTGGTCTGCCGTGCTCCTTTTGGGTCTGCTCTGCCGTGCTCCTGTGGGGTCTGCCGTGCTCCTGTGGGGTCTGCCGTGCTCTTGTGGGGTCTGCCGTGCTCTTGTGTGGTCTGCCGTGCTCCTTTGTGGTCTGCCGTGCTCCTGTGTGGTCTGCCGTGCTCCTGTGTGGCCTGCCGTGCTCTTGTGTGGGTGGGTGGCGGGGCCTCTAAAGGCTGGAAAAAAGGACCAAAGAGGTCCGAGCCCGAGGCTCTCACGGGAGCCTCCAGGGCCAGCGGGAGGGGCCGCTAAGGCCGCCCTCCCCGAGGGGCCGCTTCGGGCCAACCTCCAGCACGCCCTCACGAGGGACCGCTTCGGGCCTCCCCGAGGGCAGGCCGCCAGGGCCAACGGGGGCGCCTAGGCCCCAGGGCCACGAGGGCGGGCGGTGCCGCGAGGCATGCAGAAGCAGCGAAGCTGCACTGAAGATCGAGCTGAAGAAAAAGGGACGGCAACGATCAACGAGTGCCACACGAAGCCCACGTGCACATACAAAAATGCGAATGCAAGCGGGAGAGGAAGCCAAGCAGAGGAGATGAGGAAGGACTCACTCACAGACCTCGTAGCTTCAGAGACAGCAGCTTACTGCCCTCCGCACAATTTGATAAGACGCTTCAACTCTCTGGCACGCTCAACGGACATCCCTGGCGGGAGGGCGTCAACCAGACGAGACGCATCCGCGAATCGCGCACGAAGTTGGTGCGGCCTCCGCATGGGGGGAACCTTGAGGCCAAAGGAGCCGCCTTCGATCAAGTGCATCAGGTCAACAGCATTGGCTTGGCGCGTCCAAGCGGGATCCAGAAACCCTGGCACGTACTCCCGCCGAAGGATACCACGCACGCCCGAGCAACAGCCAATGTCGAGCACGCACGGGGCATCTGCGAAGCGGACCCTCCGCAGCCGCGGCGGCGCCACAGCGCCTGCGGCACGCCCCGACATCGGGCCCTCGGTCCGCAAGAGATCGTCAGGCAGCGGCGGCGGCGGGGCGGCAGATCCAGCAGCTCCGCACTCCTGCACCGTCGCCGCCCCTGTGGTGAGCCACACGCGGGCAACAACGGCCCTCGCACGCCACCAGTCCCCTGCCGCGACCTCGCAGCGGCCCCAGCCGCCATCGCCCCCGCTGAAGAGGGCCTGCGGGAAGGCGGCGAGGTACGCGGCGGCTGCAGCAGCAGTACCGGCATGGTCGGCACCTGGCGGCTCGCCGACCGAGCACGAGGTGTCCGCGTCGGCCTCACCGTCCAGGGTAGCGTCGTCGACGTCGGAGCCGTCGCAAGACGCGCCTGGCACACCAGCAGTGGCACCACCGTCGGCAGCAGTAGCGGGAGGCAGCGGCGCACGGCCTGCAGTACCTCCAAGGCTCACATCATCCGCCTGCACAATACCCACAGTACCAGCGGCGGCACGGCAGGAGGAGAACAAAACAGCGCCACAAGAGCACAAAACGCCTTCGTCGCTCCGTCGCTGGCAGACGCTGCCCGACACCAGGACAGGCTCAGCAGCTGACCTCCGCGGCGTGCGTCCTGTGCCGACCTCCTCGGTGCCGCTCATCACCTCTCCGCCGTCGCCCCAGCGCCCCGGGGGCCGAAGCGGCCAGAAGGGGTCGGCATCGCACCGCAGCGTGTCCACGTACTCGCTAGGCTCCACGTGGCCCTCGCTCTCCGCGTGCACGGCGGCGCAGGCAGCGGTGTCCGCCATGAGGGCGGCCTCGACGTCAGCGACGTGCGAGACCGCCGAGCAAGTCGGGAACTCCCTCGACTCAGGCAGAAGCGACCGCGGGCGCGGGAGCCGCGGGCCGCGCTGGGCGAGCCGCCAGGCGCGCCGCGGAGCTCCAGGCCGCGGGAGGTCCTGCGCGTGGCAGCCGACGCTCCGCTCTAGAATCCTGCCCTCCTGAAGCTGCTCGCCCTTCTCTTGCGCGATAAGCACGGGCGCAACGAGCGCCAGGCGGCGCAAGATGCTCGGAGGCGCCTCGGCCAGGCCCTGCAGCTCCAGGAGTTGCGCTGCCTGCCTCTGCGCCAATCTCTCACGTGAGAGGGCGGCCCAACGCTGAGCCTGGCGGCGCTCGCGCGGCGCACGCCGAAGCCCTCCAGACAGCCGATCATCTGGCCGTCTCCCCGTCGCCATCGAACTCGAGCCCGCGCGCGCGCGCGCCCGAACAGGCTGAGCCAAAATGGCTACGGCCGTGCTCTTGTGTGGTCTGCCGTGCTCCTGTTGGTCTGCCGTGCTCTTCTGTGGTCTGCCGTGCTCCTATGGGGTCTGCCGTTGTTCGGCCGTCTTGAGGGCACTCTTAGGGCATAGTCTGCCGTGCTCCTCGTCTTGGTCTGCCGTGCTCCTCGTCTTGGTCATCCTTTCCGTCGTCTTGAGGGCGCTCTTGGTGCCTGGTCTGCCGTGCTCCTCGTCTTGGTCTGCCGTGCTCCTCTCGGTTCCTAAGCCTGGTCTGCCGTGCTCCTCGTCTTGGTCTGCCGTGCTCCTCTCGGTTCCTACGCGCGGTCTGCCGTGCTCCTGTGGGGAGCACGGCAGACCACAGGAGCACGGCAGACCACACAGGAGCACGGCAGACCACACCTCGATTTTTTGAGGATGTCTCGAGCGAAATGGCCGTGGTCTGCCGTGCTCCACACAGGAGCACGGCAGACCACCTGCTCATTTTCTGAGGACGTCCCGAGCGAAAACGTCATTTTTAACATAAGAGGTTGTAAAACACCTCTGTCGGCATCTCATTTTTTCGAGGATGTCTCGAGCGATACGCTCCTTTTCATGCATAACAAAATTTTTTGATATTTTTCAACATCCCGAATTGTTTGAGGATGTCTCGAGCGAAACCGTCATGTTTAACATAAGACGTCTTAAACGATAGCCTCCAACACCTCGATTTTTCGAGGATGTCTCGAGCGAAATGGCCATTTTGGGGAATCCGCCAACGAAAACCCCCGTGCGGCCCCGCAACCCATAGATATAAGATATATATATATATATATATATATATATTATACTCAAGGATTCAGCCAGAACGTCCCCGCTTGCTTCTCGTACCTCGAAGACGCTTCCCGTCATCCGCCACGTGCAGCGCGGCAACCCATAGATAGATATATAAAAGATATATATATATATATATATATATATTTACTCAAGGATTCAGCCAGAACGTCCCGCTTGCTTCTCGTACCTCGAAGACGCTTCCCGTCATCCGCCAACGAAAAATCCCGTGCAGCGCGGCAACCCATAGATATAAATATATATATATATATATATATACAAGGATCAGCCAGACGTCCAACCTCGCGCTTCCCGTCAAACGACGTGCCCGCAACTCATAGATATAAAGATATATATATATATATATATACTCTCAAGGATTCAGCCAGAACGTCCCGCTTGCTTCTCGTACCTCGAAGACGCTTCCCGTCATCCCGTGCAGCGCGGCAACCCATATAGTTAAAGAAAAGATATATTTACTCAAGGATTCAGCCAGAACGTCCCGCTTGCTTGTCGTACCTCGAAGACGTTTTTTTTTGACACCGCCACCCCAGGTCAAGAGGTCTTGCGAGCCTTCACTGAGCCTGCCGAAAGGGAGACCCGCGCGCGTGCACGTACTTGGACGCAACACGCGAGACTCTCACCCTCTGGTGAGTAGCATCGCGCATCAGGTGACGGCCCTCTAGCCGACGCACTGGTGGCAAGCTGAAGCGACACAAAAACCGAGTGAAACACACTCACGAACTTACAACTGCGGGCCTCAGGGAACTCAGCTGGCTTGCCAACATTTTCTAAACTATTTTAGAACATGTGAACGGCGTATACCCGCTCAGGCGGAGCTATGCGGTAGCATACCGAGTAAACGTCGCAGTCTTACTTCTTCTTCCCTTTGGCCTTGGGCTTGGCCTTGAATGCCAACTCCTCGACCTTCTTGGCGCACTTGGACCTCGGGGCGTAGTCGTCGTCGATCACGAGACCGATCTTCTCTTGCCACTTCTTGGCTGGCTTCAGCGCGCGGATGGCCTCGACCACCTGCCTGTGCCGATCTGCCGCCAGGATCCAGCGCACCTTGCCGTCCTTCTCTTCGTCTTTGCACTCTATCATGAAGCAGCGGGTCGCCTGGAACGAGTTCTTCTGGGGAGCGCGAGCGCCCGCGGCGTTGACAATCTCCGCGGCGTTCTTCACGGCCGAGGCGTCGCTCTCGTTCATGTCGGCGCCCACCAGCTCGGTGTTCTCTTTCAGCGCTACGTGCAGGTGGTACAGGATCGCCCTCAGGAACGCGTCGGGCTTCTTCCCCTGCGGGTTGCCAAGGTAGGTCTCGTCCTGCTCCTCGGCCTCGGCCTTGGCCGCCTTGCCCTCTTTGTCGTAGGAGGCGACGGAGCGGTCCAGGCTCAACTTCAGCTTGCTCTTGCCGTCCATCTCCAGCACTACGTTGCCGTCCCGCGCGTTCGACCTGTGGATGTCCTCGTGCTGAAGGATCAGTTTGGCCATCTCCTTCATCAGCTGCTTCTCTTTGGTGTTCAGGCCGGGGCCTGCTGTGCCCTCGCCCCCGCCCTCGGCCCCGTCCTCGCCCCGCAGCCTCTTTTGCCTGGGCGGTGCGGGAGCTCCCTCGGACGCCTCCGCGAACATCTGGCGGTCGCTCTGCCGGGGGAGCGGGAGGCTCTGAGGGCGCCGCAACTAGAACCGCTTGAGCATCTACGGCCGCAGCACGACAACGACCTCGAACGTGTTTCTTGAGGGAGTCGATGCGAGTGAATTTAGCACCACATTTACGACATGTGAGGGGCGGTGTGGACGACGGGTCTTCTCCTGTTTGATGTTCGTGATGTTCTCGACCGAGGTGTATGTTCAGCGCGCGACTGTTTTGGAAGGCCAGCTGGCATATATGGCATACATGTTGGACATCAGCATGAGCGTCATGTTCGTCGTGGCCGTCCCCTCCTCCAATTATCCCGTGCCCTCCCCCCTGTTCTCCATGAACATGTACATGATATGCTTTGCGTTTTTCCTCGACACTGGACCGAAAGCTTCGCACCATCGCCAGTCTGGCTTTCGGCAGGCCAAGAAACCACTCGTACAGTTCGGGAGACAACGATGCGATCACATCTGGACTGCAACGCATACTCGGAGGCAGTGCAGCACGCAGGCAGGACAAGTCAGTAAGGAGCTGGCGCTGTCGTTCAGTAGTGACTCTAGCTCTTTCAAAAGACAGTGTACCCAGAAGACATGTGCGTACAGCAACTGGGGCGCCCGTCGGTGGCTCCGTCGGCTTGAACACTGGCAAAAGAAGACCACGCCACCAAAGCAGACGCCTGTATCGAAGGTCGGATTGAATGGAGTGAACCTTGTGCTTCATCCTGACCTCCTCATTCGTGAAGTGGGAGAGGTGCGCAGGGGTCTTGGTGACACTGCGGAGCTTGGTCGCTTGCCACCGTTCAAGCTTGGTGAGAGCACCGTCACTCAGGATGCAGACCTCTAACCCGTACAGCGCGATCGTCCTGACCAGAGACTGCCACAGTCGTACTCGTAGCACAGTTGGTAGGAATCCCTTGCGAAAGACCTTAGGCGCCAGACGTGCGTGAGCGACATTGGCTTTGCTGATCCTCGCGTCGACGGTGACCCCACTGCGGCCTGTAGCAGACATCTGTAGCCCAAGATACTGCACCGCGTCCTGTGGGTGGAGAGGCTTCCCGCCGCAAAGCACACCAGTAGTGCGAGCAATAATATCTTTGTTAAACCGGCGAGACCCACAACCAGTGGCTACGGCAATGACCTCTGTCTTCGGCATGTTCATGTGGTAGTCCTTGGCCTTGAGAACGGAAGCAATGAACGCAATAAACTCAGTGACCTCCGACCAACTCTCAAAGACAGCCAGCGCAATCAAGTCATCCACGAAGCATATCCGAGAGACATCAATGCACTGGGTAACCTCCTGCAAGTCCAGCTTCGCTGTGATGGGTGCCACCAAGTTCGCCTGCTTCGCAGCTTTCAACGCCAACAGCACCACGTTGTAGGCAATAATGAAGAGAAGGGGGCCCTCGACCGAGCCTTGTCGCACTCCGAGCTGTACAGCGAGTTTGGCGACTACCTTCCCAGACTTCGGATCCTTGAACAAGTAGCACGTGCCGTTGTGGAGCTCAGCGCACATCAAAGTGAAACCTGCATTCTCGACAAGTCTATGTACTTCACTCCAGATGGCATCTCGTGGCAGAAGATCAAATGCTTTCTCTAGATCCACCAATATGCCGACTAAGATCTTGCAGGATTTAGAGTTTTTGACGGCGACGCGGAAGCGACGGAAGATATCGTCGATCATGGCTATGGCATCTCTGGTGGCTCGCTTAGCTGCGGCACCGAACTGCGCGGGCTCAATCTTCGAGGAGGCTACCGAGACGAAAGGCCGAACCATAAACTTGGAGACGCCTTTGCCCAGGTGGTCGAGGATGTTCAGCGTACGGTAGTGGTCACGCGCATTAGTGCCATCACCTTTAGGCTTCCGCAGCTGGGCTGTGACTCCATCCTTAAATTGAATCGGTATACTCGCGCACTTGCCGATGCCTTGTACCAAAGCCTGCAGAGGTTCAAGAATGACTGTGCCAGCCAGCTTCCACAACTCAGCGACCGTGCCACGCGGTCGGGGGTGTCCTCCATCAGCTTCATCAACCGGTGGGGCCGCCTTGTGGTTGGGCATCATGTCAATGATCTTGCGCACGTCGTCCGTCGTGCACGCCACTAGGTGGGCCAGCGGTGTCGCACCCTCAGCACACGATGGAGTAGCTGTCGTCGTAGGTCGCTCGTTCAAGGGGATCTCGGTGCCGCGGAAGATGTCCAGCAAGGCCTGCTTGCGAGCCAGCACCTCAGACTCCGCATCCATGCACGGCTTGCCATCAGTGCCAATGACGGTCACGGTGGCCGCGGTCGGCTTGGGGGCGATACGGCCGATGAGCTTGTAGCACTTACGAGGGTCGTTGGCTCGGGCCGCCTCGTCAGCTTCCGCAGCTAATGTCACCACAGCCTGCCGTCGTTCAGCTCGGGTAGCCTTCTTGGCCACTTTGGAAAGGCGTCGCGCTTGGGCCTGCGCATTGAAGAGGACGCCCATGGGGGCAGACTGGTCAGCGAGCTTCGTGGCCCATCGAATGGCCGCCTGCTTCTTCTGAATCTTAGTCACCGTCTCGGGGGAAAAGGCGAAGTAGGAACGCTCTGTCTTACCCTGCACATAACTAGAGCCTGCCACCACCACCGCCCGCTCCAGCTTGTCGTAAAACTCAGTGGGTGACTGGGTGGCCAAATTCATATCGATAGATTGGACCTCAGCAGCGAGTCGTTCCTGATAACGTAGGGCTTCGCTGATCGTCGTCGTGATAGGTCCACCACTGCCGCCTTCATCCGCTTCGGCCTCCGACCATTGCTTCCATGTCTTGGCTGCGTCAGCTAGCTGTTGGCGATTCCAGGTCGTGGTAGGTGCCGTAGGAGATCGCTTTGGGAATTGCCTGCCCACTCGTACCGACGCCTCGACGATCATGTGGTCTCGAGCGGGGCCCAGGGCAAGAGGAGTGTCACGTAGCACATGAGCGCGGTCCTGAGCACCAGTGCGCAACGACGTAGCAATGAAGTCGATTCTGGTCTCGCCCTGGCCGTCGGGGTTCCTCCATGTGGTGCTCTGTCCACGAGCACTGCCGAAGGTGTTGATCGCGCGCAAGCTGTACTGGGAGAGGACCTCGTGAAGGCGGCGCCCGTTGTCTGCCCACTGGGGGCGATACCGTCCACGAGAGCTAGCGCACCCAACCGTCGGCAGAGAAGGTGCCATACTGCCATTACTGTCCAGGGCCAGGATCACTGCGCACCGCTGTGGAATGTAGCTGAGAGCTTTGCCAACATTCTCGAAGAACTCGTCTTTAGCTTTTGTGCATGCTTTGTGTGCGGCTGCAGTGATAGGTCGAGCTTGGGGCTTGTCAGCTGGTGCGTAGCCGCAGAGAACGTAAAAGTCAATGTACTTGCCCCTCGTGATGCGGACACCGACCAGTCGCCCCAGCTGCCATCTGTGTGTAACCTTAATATCTGAGCGGAGAGCAATACGCTTGGAAATCGCTATGGCCACACCGTCTTTCAAGTGTCGTGCCGATCTCGGCGAGGGTGTAACGATGTAGTGCTCACTCTCCCACTGCTGCTCGATAGAAAGCATCGTTCCTTGTAGGGCCAGCACATCCACTCGAGCTGCAGCGGCATATCGAAGAACTTCGTCCAATCGTCCTGGCATCAGCATTGTCTCCGCGTTGTAGGGCCATGTTTTGACAAAACCTCGCCGTGGAATACAACATTCGGTAGGAAGAACCGTAGGTGAGAGAATCACTCCGTGATGCGCCGCCAGTCTGCATAGCTTCGCCACTGCGTCCTGGCCCTCGTAAAGGTCGCCCTTGAACCATACTCGCCCTCTGGCGAGGATGGTACGGCATGCGCGGTGATAACTCCGTGTGCTGTGCACTAGCTCGTCCCCGTCGTTCGTGATCATCAGCTCCAAGGGACTCCAGGCAGGACGTGCCCCCTGCCAGCGCTCGGCCTGACAGCGCAGGTGGTTCAGCACGGCGACGACAGGCAGTAGGCAAGAAACACGAATCCATATCCTCGCCATCGCACAGGCATGCTGCGTGGGGGTTTGCGACCCCACTGGCAAGTCGGTGCCTCCTGAAATCGCTCGAGCCCAGGCCTTTCGAAGACGCTTCCCGTCATCCGCCAACGAGTTTCGGGATGGAGCCCGTACCCCTTAGTTAGAGAACCGCCAACGAGTTTCGGGATGGAGCCCGTACCCCTTAGTTAGAGAATCTCTCTCCCTCTCTATCTCTCTATGTCTCTCTCTTTCTCTGGCTTTAAGCCCCCAAAGCTTCAGCTACAGCACGGCAGACCAGAACAGCAGACCCGCACGGCAGACCAGCACAACACACCGACACGGCAGACGAGCACGGCAGTCCGGCACGGCAGACCAGCACGGCAGACCAGCACGGCAGCCCATAGGAACATAGCAGACCAGATCATGTCATTGACGCTGCTGTTGTTGGTGATGATCATGTTGCTGCTGATGGTGATGGTGATGCGTACGATGATGATAATGATGATGATGAGGAGGAGGAGGATGATGATGATGAGTATGAGTATGAGTATGGTGATGATGATGGTGATGATGATGATGATGATGATGATGATGATGATGATGATGATGAGGATGATGATGATGATGGACTTCTCGGGGTGTGCTTGGGAGATGTTGGGGTCCTCTGGAGAGCCTTTGGACTAGCAGTTTAAATCTGCGTAGCCGTTGTAACCCGACTCTCGTTTTCTTCATCGGTCTGACCGGTTTATCAGCTTACACGGCACAGCGCAGCAACACGACAGACGGCAGCAGCACGGCAGACCAGGAAGGCAGACCACAGGAGCACGGCAGACCAGAACGGCAGACCAGAACGGCAGACCGCAGGAGCACGGCAGAGCAGCACAGCTGACCACAGGAGAACGGCAGACCAGCACAGCGTTGTTGCAGCAGACGGTGCTGATACACTCTTAATTTATTGAACACGTCCCCAGCGAAATCGTCATGGTCGGCCGTATTGAGGGCACTCTGCGGGTCATCTTTGGGCCGATTTTGTTTTTGGGGGGCCGTACTGATGCCCTCAAAAACGATTCCAAGACGACGTTAGACTCATTGTTTGTTTGATGATTGTTCGGCCGTCTTGAGGGCACTCTTAGGGCATAGTCTGCCGTGCTCCTCGTCTTGGTCTGCCGTGCTCCTCGTCTTGGTCATCCTTTCCGTCGTCTTGAGGGCGCTCTTGGT